GGGAGAGAGAGAGAGAGAAATAACCAATCTGAAAAGAAGCAGTTTTCCTTTTTCTCTTTCAGATGGATTGAGCCCCTCTCTTCCTCATTTTCTTCAACATATCTAACAAATGATGAAGTAAGTCATTGTGGTTACACAAAATTATTGCAAAAAAAGTGGAATTTGTTGAGTGAGAAAGGATCTTTTCTAGATTGTTGCAATAGCCAACGTGAACTTTGACCTTCCCTATCAATTTTGATATTGATAATGATTTAGGAGTGCTGAAATATAATAAGAAATGATTGATAGAAAGCAAGCCAAGAAAATTTTTTCATTTGTTGGCTTATTAAAAGCTGAATGATTTAAGTCATTAATAATCTTATTAAGAGTAATTTTTAAAACGAAATACTTTTTCAATCATATGCATCGGAAACATTTTCATGAATGCTTGCTATCAGTGTCAATGAATGTTCGAATGAATGATTGTGGATGATAAGTTCAATAATTTGTCCATTTTCCCAAAGAAAAAAAAAGAATTAGCTGAGGTCAGAGTGCATTTCTCCTATATTCATTCTAGACAGAATACAAATGATATATTCCTATGTACTATGCATTCTTTTGTGATTCATCAAAAATAATATCCTAAGTCCGAAAAGATTTTCATTTAGAATGTGGGAAAAGAATCGAGATATGAAATGTATTGTTATCAGAATCAGGAATCAAGAGTCAAGAATCTAAAAAGAATCAAGAATCGAGATATGAAATGTATTGTTATCAGAATCAGGAATCATGAGTCAAGAATCTAAAAAGAATCAAGAATCGAGATACGAAATGTATGATTATCATCTAGGTAATTCTTTTTTCTATGTTACGAACAAATTAGCTGACTTTTTGTTTTTTTAATCAGAGATTTTGAAATGCGTAAGTAGATTTGATTTTATCCCAAAACAGATTGGAATATCAAATAGCAGTGTAAAAAGATAATAGGTAAAAGTATGAAATAAAAATGAAGAGAAATTTTGAGAAAGAATAATGTAAATGAATCGGAATATGATTCTGAAAGAATTTTGCATAGTAATTTTATTATAAAAGCTTGCAATCAAGATATGAAAAGATAAGTTAATGAGCTTAATGACTGTACTAAGTTTATCTGATATATCAGACAACTACTGATATTATCATAACTTTTGCGTCTTATCTTATCTTTTACTGTTATCATTATTTATTTCCCATCTTCTAGGAAAAAAAAGGGAAAAAAAGAAAAACGAAGTAACCTTATAAATAGGAAGAGTCAATTTCTGCGCCGTCGTACACCTTTCGGTGTAAATTTTCATTGCTGCTGTTATTAGTGTTACGTATTATATACTCTTCCAATGATAAAATTCCACTCTTTCACTCTGATTATGCAAATTTCTTTAGTACAATTTGAGCAGTTTTTGGGAATGAAATGTTCACCGCAATTAGCAAATCCAGAATTTCTTCTTACGGGACAATCCCAAATAATGAGGCTGAAAAATGGATGATATTGATTGGAAGATACTGAATCATTATCCTGTAATTTATACGATAATTAAATTCATCACAAATATCATTTATACTTTTTTGATAAGAAATGTATCACATTTTATGGGATTAAAATGAAAGCACAATGATAATCGTATCATTAAAACACTATCTTAATTAATTAATTATAATCATTACTATTGTCATTAATATATAATCATTGAGCAAGAAATAAATGCATCAAATAGATAAATGTAACGAGAAATCCATTTATTAGTCATACATATAACTCAATGAAAGACTTAAATTTACTTTTGATATTTAATTTTATTGTAATAAATTATTTAAGGAATGCTTTAAGAGTTGCTCAGTTATTTCTTAAACTTTTCCTTTTTCCTTCCAAACTGACTAAACAAGCGATCTTAATGTAATGCTATCATAATGACATTAAAGAGCTTCTTCAAATGAAAGGCTTATTATTTACTTACTTATATTTAGTTTTTCTCTGTCTCTATGATTACAAAGTTATATCTCTTCCATTTCTCAAACAAACTATGTGTCATCGAAAAAATTTATCAGTGAGGTAGAAGTGATGGTTCGGTTCAGCTAAAAACTGTAAACTAACTTAACGAACAATTACAATATCCCGCTAGTAAAGGGAAAATTATTTGACAACCAACAGTTACTACTGCTTGTCACACTTGTACCGAAAGTTTCAGGCTTCCTTTACTAATATTAACTGTTCCATTAAATTTGAATGGCACGACTATCATTTGAATTCAATATTTTTCACAATTACATGAACAAAGATGAAACAAAAATGTTATTTAAATTTACAAATAATTGCAAAATATTTGGGAGGAATGTTATAAATTAATATATTAAAGAAATGGTGAGAAAAAAAAATGAACACATTTGGGTGTACGGATGATATTTAAGTAAACATCAAATAAACTGGTTTGTTGTCAAAACAACAAAAAAAAAAAAAAAGAAAGAAATAGTTTAAAGTGTAGAAAAAGGAAATATAAGTTTGGGAAGAGAAGGAAAATGAAAGAGTTCAAGTAAATTTTGCTTTCTTTATTTCATTTCATCATTTTTAATGTGATACAACGAACTATTTGCTGCAATGAGAAGTAAAAGAAAAATATGGTTTAAAAATAAGAAAAAAAAAGGAAAGTGCAGGAAAAAAAAAACGCTTCTCAAAAATATTTTTATTAACATAGTAAGTTAAAATTAAAAATAAGAAATGAAATTTATTACGATGATTTCACGTGATATTGTAATGGGTTGATAGTGAAAATGATAACACGAAGATATGAATGAGGGAAGTGGAGATGGTTACTGTATTAAATTATAAAATCGTAAATGCTGCTAAAGTTGTAAAATAGAGGAAATAAGTAATCAAAACTTGTCATTGAAATATTTGTTGATAGGACATGAAAATGGCATTGAATATAACAATCAACAATTTATTTCCTTCATTTTTATTCTTTTTTTTTTTTTTGTTTTTCATTCTTTAATTTAATTTAGTTATGTCATTTACTTCCTTTAGGAAAAATCCATCTCTCATCGTTTGATTTGTAATTTAAGTGATGAAATTATGCCACAATCATCCTTGTAATAAAAACTAAAATACTGATAATGAAATGATATGTGATAGAAATTGTTGTAGTCATCATCACATGATATTAAGTTTTGATCATAAAATAATGAAATGTAAGGTGAAAATGAAATGGTTATAACGAATGCAACGATGATAGTAGGTGTGGTAAAACAAGTTATGTAAGATCATTCTATCAATGGCCCTCGAATCAAGGAGGCGATATTATCCTTAGTTTATAAATGTGGTAAACAATGAATATTTCCTCTGATCGAGAAACGATAATAACAATAATGATGTTAACAATAATAACAACAGTAATAATAATGGTGATAACAAAAACAATAATAGTGTTGATAACAATAATGTTGTTAACAATAATAACAACAGTAATAATAATGGTGATAACAAAAACAATAATAGTGTTGATAACAATAATAATGTTAACAATAATAACAACAGTAATAATAATAGTGATAACAAAAACAATAATATTATTAATACCAATAATGATAATAATATAATAACGATATTAATAACACCAATAATAATAGCCAACTGAATTTCAAACTTCGAAATATAATGTAAGTAAAATGCAAATTGAAAAAATGCTTGTTAAAACATGAAAGTGAATTTGCAAAGTCTTTTTAATTATACATGTCAAAGTGTGTCTTCCCAACGTTAATGAATTGAGTGGAGAACAACGAAGTAAAAAGATAAAGAGGCAAATGTTAAGTGGTAAGTTGAAAAGATAAGTTGTTAAAGTAGTGAAATAAAATATGTAAGTTTCTCCTAATGTTCACAGCACTGGAATGAGATAGAAGAAGACGACAATTATCTTACAGTAACTGGGTAAAAATAAAAAAAAAATTTCAGGTAATGTTAAATCACTGAAAAATTGCAAGATGATAGTATAACTACATGATGAATTGTATTTAAAAATTGCAATCAGAGATATCAGTCGTTGCAATTTATCATGATATGATAGCATTATATGAGGTAGTGGTCAGAGGAAAAGTTGGTTATGATACATGCATTCCGGAAAGAAATATATTCCAGGAAGAGATTCCGGTAAGGTTGGAGTGGATGAATAAAATTTAACTAACAAGTTCTCATTCATTGAGACATTTTCAGCATCACTGAAAATGCGAAAAATGATTATGAGACGGCAATAACGGAAATATTAATCAAATGAGATGAAATGAGCGAAGAGTGAGAATGGTATTTCAAATATTTATTATGGAAGAAATAACAAAGGAGAATTCATTATAAGACAAAGTTGTTAATAAGTTAGCTTTTATCTATTCCGGAAAGAAAAAGCGGAAAACGAGAACGGAGAAAAGCTAGAAGTAAAATATGTAAGGTAAGAGAATGAATGTATAATATAGATTTCAAACATTTTACCTTCGTTGTCTTTCCTTAATTTAAGAAATTTTGCTGCTTTCAAATTTCTGCGGCGAAAATGTGCGTAATTGATCGCGGCGTTCTGAAGAACTGGTTGATAATATCTGTGCTGTGATTTGTGATGTGGGGTACTGCTGATCGTAGTTGTAGTAGTAGTAGTAATAATAGTAGTGATGGTAGTGGTGGTGATAATGATGGCAATAAGTGCGATGATAATTATAAGGAAAGGTTTTTGTCTATTGTTCATCGTCTGATTTGTCACATAAAATAAAGGGATCTAAGGGAGAGAAGATGAAATTAGTTGAAGAGATAGGAGAACTAGAATTGGATCATAATGCAGGAAATGATAAATTGATGGAATAAATTGAATCTTTTAGAATAAGTTGATTGAACAAGTATGGAATAATAAAGAAAAATAAAATAAGTTAGGTCAATTTTATGTAAATGATAAGAGGATGAATAGTTGAAATAATGAGTGAATTAACGAATGAAATGTCAGAAGAATGAATGAATGTTAAGAATTGCGAATGTACAAGAAGTACATAAGATTCATTATCAGTTATTCCCATTCTATCTCTAATAGAATGAGCATGAACATTAACATTGGGAAAAATACTCAAAATGCAATGTTAAAATTTTCAAAAATTTTTTAGACATAGGAAAAATAGGCTGAGCTAGTTTGAAAAGTTGGTTGTCATTACTATCGTCCATGATTATAGTCTATTATTATCATTATTCATTGCCATCATCATTATCATTATGATCATCGATAACATTTAATTATTCTCATCGTCTTTCTTCTATCTTGGATAGTACTAATTTGAGAGAATTTTGGATAAGATTTTCATCCTTTCTTCAAAAAATGAACTACAACCATGGATGACAAAATGAAAGAAAAAAAAAGAAAAAAAGAAGAAGAAGGATATTTGAGGAGTGATAGTACTTTTATCCATCTTATCGAAAATTTTTACTCCTAATTAATACTAATCTTGATATAAGCGAGATTTTTATTCTCCTGAAAAGTTTCTGCATGAAATATAGCCATGCAATAGTAGTTTGTGAACTTTTGTTTTCAAATTAAATCACAGAAATTACTGAGCAAAACTTTTACAATGCGAAAATTTTTGATTCATCGAAGAATTCTTATTGTTTGCAAATTTATAACTTTTCACAATTCTGTGTTTTAGTTTTATAATTTTTCAATTTTAAAAAATGAAAGTGTTTTATTGTTGAATTCATTACGTTATTATCTTTTGATAAACATTTTCAAACAACAAACATCACTTCTCCGTTCTTAGCCAATATAAGCTTCCATACAAAAGAAATGAATTTAAAAGCCTAATTAGGGGAACGTAGGATTTTGCAAAAAAAAAAGAAAAAATTACCAGGATTTTTATCAGTTATAGCAGATTGCTTATATCTTGGATAAATAAATGTAAGTTGCAATCAATAAAACGAGAAATGAATGACTGTAGCTAACAGAAATTGTCACTTCTGAATGACCTTGAAACTTTCCAAAAAATTTGAAAATGATACCATTTGTTACTATCATTTTGCTTCCTTTAAAAGGTTTCGCAAGATGACACCAAATGAGCACTTTGTAATTTCACAACGAAAAAAAGATATTATAAAAATTAATTAGTTAATATAACTAGTGAAGGTCATAAGATATTAATTTGAACAATAAGAATTTCGGAAAACTTAGGTAAATATTATGCTGTAGAATTTAATTAAATGGAAATTAATCAAGTGGTTATATCAGTGTCAGATGATCCAGAAAATGAGATGTATCGGTATTTGCCAATTATTATGGAGAGTAATTTGCTTGAATGAAATTCAATTCAGTATTTATCCGAAGAAATTTTCGGAATAGCACTTTCATTGCTCAGTGATCAAAATCATAATTTAGAATTTTAGAAAACAAAACCTTTCCAATGCTTTTGTCCTTTTGTGAAAAGTTCAAAAAGCATAGTATTGGTAAACGAAAACAAAAATAGAAGGGAAATTTTAAATTATGAATGACAGGTTTTTGAAAATTTTATGAAATGCAAAAGAGACTTTCGAGAGTTTTTTTTTCTGCTCCTGCTTGTAATTCGAGGTGCGATGATTCGCAAATTTTTATTGCAAATATTTTTGAAGTGATAAGGCAAAATTAATTAAAATCATAAATTTTCGAAAATACATTACTGTAGCGACGAAGAATTTACAAAGTAAAAGTGCTGTAACTAATTAATGATGGTCTGTTTTTGTGCAGTTCGCTTGTCAAACTCAATAAGTTTTTTGATTTGTTCTCTGAAAACAAATTCAATTTGCTTTAATTAATCCACTTGTCAATAATTTCTATCATTTGTTTGGTCAGTGGTGGTCAAGAGTCCTCTATTCAGCGTATTCATGAGGATTCGAAAAATGAACCTGTTCTATTGACACTTTTCTTCAACTATGAAGTGTCACCATCAGGATTTAAAATTTTCGGTGATTCCTCGGAAAAAAGAATAAAAACTGAATAGCCCAAATCTGATTCTAGTTTTCAAAAGTCCTGTTGATCGTGTTTTGAAGGGAAACCACATTTACCAGAAAAAGGAAAAAAAATTCTTGTCTTTTTTCAGATAAATTTCAATTTTCAAATCTTGACCAACATAAATTGAATCAAAATATACGATGGATGAGCTCGCTTTATCATTCCCTTCCTAGTTGAAATAAAAAAATTATGAAATGATAAATTGATGTGAAGAATTTAATTTTTTGAAAATTCAAAAAAAAAGAAAAGAAATAGTAAGGATGAGAAATAAGAAGAGAAGACGGAGAAGGAGAAGGATAAATGTCAAAATTATTTTCGTTTAAAATACATTCTCATTATTTGTTCGAACAATAAATTAAAAAAAAAAAAAAACAAGAAACATGTTCAAAGAGCGTGTCGATTGAACAATTTGAACAACTTTTTCAACCACTTTTTTTTCCCTTTTTTATAATTTGTGCTCAATTTTGTTTCAATCATAATTGTGAATTGAAAAACGAAAAAAGTTTTGGGACAGTCTAATGTTGCTAATTAAAATTGTATACTAATGAATATCATTCAATAATACTTCCAAATGGTATCAGGAAGAAATTTGTGGCTGAGTAATCATCATCCCATTATCAGTATGGATTAATCAATTGTAGAAAGGAATGCATTAAATCATAACCATGCCATTCTGTGATGGCTTAAATTTAAAATAAGAATATTACTAAATTAACCATTAAATTTTTAAAATATCTTTTCCTGAAAAATATACAACTGTTTAAAGATGAAATTGTATTTAAAAAAACAATTAAAAAATGCGCGTTATTTTAGATATAAAAAAAAAACAAAGAGATCGTAAATTGGCAAAATTTGAAAGTTTACCGAGAAAAATTGATTGAATTAATTAAGGAAAGATGAAAGGAAATAAATATGTCAAAAATCATACGATAATTAATTTCCTCAAAGGGTACTCTGACGTAATTTGCATGATTCAACAGAAGAAAATAAATGAACTCTATCAGCAGTGGGAAATTTCAATGAATTTTATTTATATTTTCTTGTTTCTTGTTTTTTTTTTTCTACCTTTCCTTAAAAGTTAACAGCAAGAAGATTTAGCAAATTGATAATATCAGAAGGTTTAGTGATGAAATTGCTTCTTTAAACTAACAAATATTGTAATGTAGTTGTAATCAATTGAGTGGAACATAATTAATTACAACTGGTTAAACAATTATAATTATGAACAAGAAAAATATGCAAACATTTGAGCAAGAAAATAAACAAAATTAACTAATTTTTTTACTGATAACAATAGTTACTCATTAATTCAAGTAATCAGTAACTAAGTCATTTTTATGTAATACATATGATTTACATCATCTCTAATCAATTGGATTATTTAATTACCTTAATTGTTGTTCAAAAACATCTAATTAAAACTTATAGAAAGAATGCCAGAAAAGACTATATACAGAATGTTTACATGTCATTGAATGTCAACATAGCTACATCTTGTACACAACAGGACATTAGCCTTTCAAGAGAATCTATAATCTAACTTGTTTAATCAATTATTTTAATCTATTTGCGCATTAAGCTGTCGTTGGTTCAAATAGCTAATACAACCTGTCAAATGATACAAATAATTTAAGCCAATACTTGGAGAATGTTTCATTACAAATTCAAATATGACACTGTGATAATAACATTGAGTTGTTGGAATGATTTAAAATATTTTCAAAATATTACAACAAAGCATACGGTAATTAGATGAATGAATGTTAGACAAAATTCAATGTTTTTTGATGATTATTTAAAGCAATTTAATTCTACAACAATTTCTTATCAATTGATGTGATGCTTTTTTCTCAAGTGATTTTACTGTAATGATAAAATAGGTGAGTATGCTAATAATAATGATAGTGATAAAAAATAGTTGCGAATATCACCATCATCAACATTAACATTATCATTTGAAGTAATTAGCATATCATTAGTAAGTCAAACATCTCGAAATCTCACGTCAAAAGACGGACGTCACCTCTTGATTTTATAGGTCGAGCTTTATCCAATTATTTTTCATTAAAGAATACTTCTGAGATTCATATTTTCGATCAAAAATCGGCAATGTAAAAGTTGAAAAACTGAGTTTATAATATTTAAGGTATACGAGACAAATTATTAGTAAGTTATTGTCGGTAAGTTATTAGCAGTAATACCTATCATTCCTACTTTTATACCTAAAATACAGCAATACGTTTACTTCTTTCTTATCCTTTTCAATTTCATTTTCTATTTAATTTCTATTTCTGTTAATCATTGTCATTGTTATCACAGTTATCAGTCAATTTCATCCTAATAATTAACAAATAAAACTTATCAGAGCAATTACAATCATTTGTAATATGCTTAGAAAAGTAAAAAATTATTCAAAAATTGTCATTTTATACACCTTTCTTCTCTTCACCGATTCCTTTCCCGCCCTTTTGCGGAATTGTCTTTTTTGTTTTATTTTTCATCACCAATATTTTCAGCTACATTTTAATTTAATCCCATTATGCTTTAAAAAAAAAACGCTTTTGAAATTTGAATAATTAAACTAATTTTTATTTATTATATAGGGAAATTATCGAAATCTAATGCAAACCAATGCATACAACCAAACATATAATTAATATAATTAAGAGAGAAATACGAAGTAATCATAGGAAAACTGAATATTCGTAAAATCAAAGTTTAGTTTAAAAAGCTAATTAAAGTTGTTTAATTAA